AAATAAATAAAAATAAATAAAATAATCCGGTAAACGATTATACACACGTATCACCTGATTGGTAAGCAATCTGCGTCGCCCATAGACACCCGGAACACCAGGGGCGTTACAAGTGCGTTACCAACCTTTTTGGATTCAGCATTTGATGATTGTTGAAGATTCAAGGATTGGGGAGATTGGGGAAGGGGTAGTGTGGTGGAATTATTATTTATATGAGCCGCTGAGTTATGTGTTGCAGTTTCAGGTTCAACTCGGAGTACAGGAACTTCTTGAATGATCCACAACAAGTTAATCCTGGTGAGCGAAAAACATCTATGGTAACTAATTTACAATCCAGTTCTTGAACAATAGTTAGAGATCATTCTAACAGCATTAAAAAAAACATGGCGTCGATAACAATAGCTGAGCCGGATAGTAAATCGTGTCATAACTTACTATGCAAGCCTTGTACCCAATGTGTTGGGCATTCCCAATACTGGTGAGTCAATGGATCGTCACGTTGTAACCTTCAAATTAATGACATGACGTTTTAAATTGCCTAATTTCTAGTTGCTAGATGTAGTCGTGTCTTGGTTTTTTTATAGTGACGTCAAAATGTTGCTACATTGTTATTTTGGAAATTTCGTATTGAGTAATATTGAATTGTTTCTCAATGTAAAGAATTCAATCAAGTTTTTTAACTTTTTTGGTCTTGCAGGTGTCAACATAACATCACGCCTTTTATCCCCGAAGGGGTAGGCAGAGGTGCACATTATGGCATTTAATGCCACTGTACAATGTAACACCCACTTTTCACTATTTATGTTATGAGTCCCATGTAATAGGGGGTGAGCCTATATTGCCATATACCGGGCTCATTTCCAGACTCCGTGCTACTACTGAGGTTTTTACAAACCCAGTAATACTTACAAACCCAATAATACTGTCGCATTTGCGACCACTCGGCCAATGAGGCAGGTGTCAATGGGCTTAGTATTAAGTGAACTGATAGCTGGTATCTGCCTCCTCTCCGCTATCCCATAAGAAATGCTCTTTATTCTAGTTAGGTATAAAAGTTATTACGGAAAGTGCAATTTTTGGTCCTTGAGTACGACGTACGATACTGCGATGTATACAACAATGGTTTACCTAAAAACATTTATTACTTTAGGAAACAAAGAGTATAGTTCCTTAAGATCGGAAAAGGAGGATCCTCCGACCAGGCGAGTTGATGTGCCTGGCGGGCTTTCTGCCCAACAGTTGTTCGTTGGGATTTTCTATTCGTGTTAAATCGAATGTACTTTTACTAGAGTTCTGGAGCCTGATAAATAAAGGAGTAAAATTCGAGTTTGTTGTCGGTCAACCAATTGTAACGTTTTTTTTTTAAGGGGGGAAAGTCATCGAATGACTGCTCCCGCCTGAGTGAGGCGGGAGGGAGTGTCAGACTCTTACTGACCAAAAACCACCCCGTTCCTTCTCCTGCACGTCGAGCCCGAAGCCCCGGTTACCCGTTAGGTTCTCCGCGACAATTGTAACGTTGGAATGTACTTGTCTAATAACCTTCAAATAAATAGTATGACGTCTACATTACCTAACTCTTGGTTCTTGTACCTATTGCCTAATTCTTGGTTACTAGAACAAATGTGACTTGGTTTTATATATTGACGTCAGTGGGTGGAGCAGTTTACTGTAAGTTTGTTGTGGTATTTAATTGTGACTTTCAGAGACTATCTAATATAAGCCAATGGTTATTGGTCAAATCTAGTCACTGTTATTGTTATTGCTCAAAATTCCTTCCTGCTTGTTCCAACTTAGACGTTTGTAATCATTTTTTACTTGTAGCTTAACAATGTTAGGAAATCGAAAGGAAATACATTATTTTCTGGTACTAAATTACCCAATATTATGAAGGGAAACTGAATTGAACTTAATCGTAGTAGATATCTATTGCAGAACTAAATAAAGACCGCTATTATTTCCTCAAACCTTTGTCTCCAAATATTGGCAAATAGGTAATCTGATTTCTGTAGCATCCTGCACTAAAACAATAAGTAGAACTGTGTCAATAGGTTACACATTTCCTTAACAGTTCAGGAATAATTCTCAAAGGCGGACAACGGATGTGACGAAGTGAACGGTAAGGCATAATAGCACTTGAGTATTGCAATATAGAACAAAAATACGTAAGATGTTACAAAACTTTGTTTAAAGTTTTGATATTGGATGTTAAAGTTGATAATTTCATGAACCAAACGCAAATATAATTTGGTAAACTGTTATGTACTTTATGTTTCATGTATTGCATAATCGTACTTATTGACGTATACTGCAAAGTTTTTGCAACATACAATTGGTTTGTATTATGTAATAGTTATGCTACTGTTATTGTTGACAACTACTTTGTTGATGAAGGACCGGTTAGTAAGACTAGGAGCAGTCGGGTTTGATTCTTGAAAAAAACTGTAGATCTCGTAAGTGCTAGTTGTAAGATGGGGAGTTGGGAGGTATAGATTTGATGGGTGGTTCCTTAAATAAATAAAAAGTAACTATAGAATATTTATATTGGTTTTTCACAGTGGGACTAAAACATCAAAAAGTAAAAACGTTAGATACCTATTGCGAAAAAATGCCTGTACTTTTCAGTACTCTTTTGCCGATCCCTTTGGGAAATCACAAATTGTGACTTTGTGTCGTGTCAAGTAAAATGAAAATATGTTTCTTTAAGAAAAGGCAATGGAAAATAATTCAACAGAAAGGAAATCTATTTCTCCAGAATATCCAGAAACTACCTAATTTTATGGCAACTATAACTGAATTCTACCATCTCAAATGACATACAAATCAATTAGATAGTACAATTTGTGTTAGTTATCAGTGCCCAACGGGACCGGCGCCAACTTTTCCAAGTTAAAATGACAACGCCTGACCGGCGCCAAAGATTTTATACGACGATTTATACATTGCCAATGTATTTTTGGTAGGCGCTTCAACTTCACGAAGTAATGTAGTACTTTCATATTTTAGTGTTTAATATTCTGACAGTAAACTGGAGCTAGTTCACGAGTTTGAGTTATGTGTGTGGCACAATATTGTAGGAGCTGTTTATTTTGATTTATTTTCGGAGAACAAACATACGGCTTTAGTGCGTAGGGCGTCATCTGCTAACCGAAATAGTTTATTCGGAATAGGCACTCTAATACCAACTTTTGGTAATAAGATTTATTTTAAGAATATTTTTTCATGACATCAAGGGGGTTAGGAGACCTTGCTGAGATTTTTAACTTAAGGATCCCTTTGGATAACCCTATAAGTCTGATATTATGCTAGGAGGAGGTTTATAGAGGTAGATTAGAACACTATATTGAGGACCAATTTTACAAAGCAAGAAAGCAAGAAATGCCACCACTGGCCGTATGCCAGTGGTAGCGGTGGTGAAGGAAAACATCGTGAGGAAACCTAGGCTTATAATTCATAAATATAAGTCTGAAATCGCCAATCGGTATTGAGCAAGAGTGTTGATTAATGCTCAAACCTCCATGTGAGAAAAGAGCCTTTGGTCAGCAGTAGACACTTATAAGCTGTTGATGTGATGTGACTGATGGCCATAGAATTCTTTAATTCAGAACGGCTCATGCTATCTCTGACCTAAGGATCCCAAGTCCTTGTGCTTTTCAATCACTTTACCATCGATTGAACCAACAAGGCAATGAACTCAACCATGCCTCCAAAAAACAAACTTTATACTAATAATTTAACTTTGACGTTTTAACGTTGTATTACGATTTATGTTGTTCGTACAAGTTTTAATGGCGGCCGTAAAGGCTCCGTCTGAAATTAATTCTGTTTTGTCAATCTCCATATTGTTTCAGTTTTCAATGTATTTTGTTTCTTTTCGTGTTATTTATGGCTGTTATAAATTTATGGACAAATATTGTATGCCTACCTCGTTTGCCGAGGGGTCGCAAGTACGGCATGGGGTCTCGGGTTTGATTTCCGGGTCCGGCAAAGTATTACTTAGTTTTTTAATATTTCTCAGTAGTAGCACGGAGTCTGGATTTGTGACCGGAATATGGCAACAGGCTCACCCCCTATTACATGGGACTTGTAACACAAAAGTGAAAAATGGGTGTTACATTGTAAGTGGTATTAAGTGCCGTAACGTACACCTCTGCATACCCCTTCGGGGACAAAAATAAAGTTATGATAATATGGTGATGAATATTGTATGAACTATGTAGGTACTAAATGTTTGTAAATAGACTTTGATTGGAATGATAATAACACGTCCTTAGGGACCTTGTCAAAGATATATTTTATTTATATATTTCGGTGTACACTGTCCACGTTGCGTCAAATGACGAATACATGCATCCTTCACAAATAATAGGCGGCATATTCTTGCATCTTGCTCAGATACAATGAAAATTATCATCGAAGCTGCAACATTTTTGTTTGTAAACATTTCATGCGTTCGTCAAATAACGCACCGTGGACAGTTACCCTTACAATTAATAAAACACATTATAATGATTTGTGAATTCTTTATTAATTATAATCAATTTTATCACTTAACTATCTACCTACATCTTACCAACCAAATTGCATTGCATTTCAATTCAATATCACATAGATAAAAACCAACAGGATATACATATATATGTATTACCTACATATTCATATACTTATAATAAATCCTAAAACCACGACCAGTCACCGCGGAGTCGTGAGCTGCATCCTTATTTTATGTGACTAAAGTCTGCCAAGGTTGAAGATTATGGCAAATGGCAAAACCTTTTAACAGTGAATGTACTGGTACACAAGCTGTAAAATAGAATGCTAAAAAGGGTTCTATTGAGCATGTTTAAAAATCGAACACCTGTCGCTTCACAACCTAGCCCGAAATGAGTTTTTTTTTTATGGGATAAGCCAGGAAACGAGCAGATGGATCACCAAATGGTAACCAATCGGCGGCGCCCGTGGACACTTGGATCACCAGAGGCGTTACAAGTGCGTAACCGGCCTTTTGGGGATTAGAAATTTGAAGTTGAGGATTCAGGGATTGAAGAGATTAGGGAAGGGGGAGGATAATTGGGCCACTGGTAACCTCACATACATGAAGAAACACAACGGAAACTTTGTTTCACGTCAGTTTTCTGTGAGTCCGTAGTATCACTTCAGTCAAGCCGGTCCATTCGTGTCTAGGCATGGCTCTCCCATACTTAAAACACGTTTTTAATACACCTGTTACTAAGTGACAGGTGCTCAATTGAAGTATGTGTTTGAGTTTGATATTAGCATGTGTAACGGTATCCTTTGGCAATGGATGTAGATGATACATAAATAAGTTAATAACACTTAAAGGTGGGAAAAGATCATTAATTTATCAACCACACATCAAGAACAGTAGCTGATAAGCAAGATCTACCCATATTTACTACGAAATAAGTATACTTTTGGTGGTCTCAGGTATAACCGTTGATGTGCGGTTAATTGCAGTATAACTAAATAAACTGTTGCAATACAAAAAGTTTCACTATAACTTAAGACAATAATTAAATATATTTTGATTTTTGAGACAATTGGGACTATTTTAACCGCTAAATAATTTCACTACTTCATCAGATATTTGGCTTGCGTATTTGTAGCCATTGAGGAGAAGGCGGTCTAATGCTGGAACTGCCTTGATTGAGTCCCCGGCCCTGTAAAACAAGTAAACATTTAATAAATTTCGAAACTTTATTTCCTATATACTTTCACCACTAAGTTAGAAAATTGTCATGGAACGGTTTCGTCTGGGGAAGACGAAGGGAAAGATCAGATTCTTCCTGACTTAATATCATTCTGGTGTCCAGTATCCTATGTGGTTACAAGGTAACGGAAAACAGACTTTCCCATCTCCTCCGTACTCCGACTCAGATGTGCTGCTTGCTGTATGACTATATGGACTCGCTCTTTATTATATGGGATTTTTTTTTAAGGGGGGATCATCGAATGACTGCTCCCGCCTGGGTGAGGCGGGAGGGAGTGTTCTGACACTTCCTCCCGCCTCTCCGCCTCCCGCCCACTCTTACTGACTAAAAACCACCCCGTTCCTTCTCCTGCACGTCGAGCCGGAACCCCGGTTACCCGTTAGGTTCTCCGCGACATTATATGGGATTAGGAACACAACTGGCAAAAGCTAGGTGGTCATTACATTTGGGTAACTTCTTCGAGGTATCAGAAATCAAATATAGTAAACTACTAACAACGTTATCTGAGTGATGCAAGTGCAACTACCAAGTAAAGGATTTTGAGTTCTTATTTATTTAAATTCCCTGATTAAACAAGTATTGGTCTTGGAATGGAGTTTATTTATGTTGACTTGTTTTTTTTTTAAATCATTTAAACTTACTGGCACTTTATCTTCCAGGGTTCATCGACGAAATAAACATGTATTGAGATTATTCCGTATTTTTCTGCGCTTTCAAGGAGACATTGAGGAGCATGAGGTATCCCTATCTGCAAATTCAAACAAAAGAGAAACATTTTTAGAAAAATTATAACGTCGTTCAGAGAAGAAGTTGAAGAAATAACAAAAACGAAGAACAAGTAGTGAGAAAGAAGTAGAGAAGTGTGTATTTAATTTTATTACAGAATAGATAGAATATTAAGCATAGTTGTGTCATACATCGCTTGGCAGCGAATTAACATTAATGTATGAGGATAGTCTTATCGCAGACAACAATAATGTAGTTGTCGATTTTTTATTGGTAATAGATATTTAAATACTATTTGTATCAATGAAATTATGATGTGATTATGAATTAATATGAATTTGTATGTATTTATGATATAATTATGATTTTTTATGTATTTATTTATATATTGTATGTAGTTGATAGGTTATTTATCTGTTTAGTTTTAAGTCGGTTTCCTATCCCAATTTTCTATTTGTAACAACACACTGTTTCACTATATTATTATTACTTTTCCTGCTCCAGGTCCACAGGAAGAAATTCCAATAGGAATAGGTGGTACCTTTGTACTTTAATTTTATGTATGTGTTGTCATTTATGTTGTATGTGTGTACATCAATAAATAAATAAATATGATACATTTTCTGAAGATTGCAAATAATAGAAGTTTGTAAAAATTAAAAAAAAATCAAATCACAAGACCACTCGTAAAATTGGACATCATGTGCTTTATGTAAAATTTTCGTACCAATCTAAGTATATAAATGTATACAATGAAACTGTACTTACCGACATGCCTTGTTTGGGGTTGGGAATATCATCAAACCAATTCCTTGCGTTCTTGGGCTTGGGCATTCTGCCCACCATTTGGAATCCCGTGCCAACCATATCACCCTGTGTCGTCATCGCGAACCATGGGAAGAAATCGTCACATTTAAGGTCACGGGTCATGTTGTAATAGTAATGTGTACCTAGAAACAACACGAGGCATTACTGTGATTATTGGAATGCATTTTTATGCTCTATACATAGCTTTCGACACCTTCTTCCAACGCTTTCCTTGAAAAAATCTCGAATATACTCCTGGACACTAACACTTCCACTAATTTCCTTGCTAGTTACTTATTAATATTTATACGTTGCATTAAAGTCATAGATGTTAGAGGGCTACCGCAAGGTGCACTATTAGGCCAATCCTATTTTCAACCCACAAATAACTTACCCATATTAGGAATACAATTTTGCTTTTTGAAGGTGGTGCTGTTTAGCTCTGCTTCCGTGCTAGGTATACGCATCAGACGTGCGTCGTGTCCCACAACCCATACTCCACCGTCTTGCAGTGTAGCTCCGTTTTCCACTTGAGGACCAGCACCAGCCTTAAGGGACTCTGGAAAGCGGATTCAAATTTTATTCTATACACAACCTATTTTCATAGTTGAATAAATAAACAGCGTATTGTTAGACGGAAGATACCTATGTATTATTGGAGCCAAGTTTAAAAATGCTAAACAATTTGAACACAGGTAATTTACAACTTACAATTACTTATTACTAAATTGTATGGATTCCTGTTTTTTTTAATAAACCGAGAAGACACTCCTATACATAAGAAACATTCTGTAACTGAGCTAGTCCTTTAGCGCTTACAGTCTGTCTACATTCTACACCACTCGGAGCGTATAATGGCTCTTTGACAATGCTAACATATCGAGTTACAGCTCTCCATCCACAGTGCTTAAATATGAACGTGTTGCGTTGAACTAACTAAATTGAAACCATTATGGACATTCAGTGCCTTCTGTTGTTAAGTTATATTGTTATTTGAATCGTAAATATAAAGCTGATGATGAAGCTTATCATGATGGTGATCATCTTTGGTGGATACTAGACAGGTATGTCCCAGAAAATTCAAACATTTTTGTAGAAACACTGTACTTTCATTATTCTGTCTTTAGTATATAAGGAAGTAAGAACTAAATTCTGGACCTATAGTTGAACGAATTAAAAGCCATAATGAAATTTATGCAAATAAATAAGTTTTTCACCTTCAGACACAAAGAACTGTGTAGCAGTCCAATATTCTCTTGCTGGTTCGCCTTCCACAGCCGGAGCTGACCACTTAACGAGGTTCTTCTCAGGAGGCAATGCAGTCTCTAATGCGTCAGCTGGAAACTATATCCGAATCATGAATAAACATATGTACATTGCCGCACTGGAGAGAAGAGTAATTTATTTTAGTACAATAGGCTGTCAATAGAATGGTAACGAATTAAAAAATTATCATAACACCAAATTTGATTATTTTGGACTTAACCGCGAAGGAAAGTTAATCTTACTCTAAACTATGTTTATTAACTTATTCTTTTTCTAATAATTTATTTGAATTCCAAAACTTAATTAGGTAAAGGTTGGTACCTATTTTGTTTAGTTTTTTTTTTGATTTTACAAATTCTACTTAAATTCGATTTAAAAGTCCCCTACGTTTTTTTGGATGATTTGGGATACCATGTTGTATTGTCCTTGACTTGACGTACAGGACGTATTATCCTTAGCTACAGATTTCATCTGTGTGTGTGTGTGTGAGGGTGTGTGTGTGAGTGTGTATATGTGTTTGACACCAAAGCCGCGTGCTCAATCTTCGTCAGATCTACGGGTGACCCATAAATTATATTATATCACCACATTATCTAGTAACGATGTTGCCCTCGTACACCCTCATTTACGAACAGCTGTTTTTAAGCGTAAGTAAGATTTTTTTATACCTGCGTTTCTTAAATGAATCACAGATAATAGAAATGAACTCGGTAATAATTCTTCTTGGATCATAAGAACCTTTCGAGAACTTGATCTGTTGTCTACATTATGTATCTATGTATATAACATGTTTATATTACAACAGCGTGGGTCCCCGACCCTCCGCGATTGATCTTGTTCATTCAAATAAATTGGATAAACGGCGGCGCGGGCGGCGTGCACGACGCGTCACCGCTCCGAATTCACTGCGTATTGTCATTTGTTAGAAGCAATGAGGAAGAGATTTGCGCGGTCATCCACCGATTGTTGTTTTGGTTCAATAAAATGTACCTCTACTATGTATGTATTCTACCTACTAATAATCTGACATTCACGGCTAGACACGTGAGATTAGCAATGTACCTGCCCTGGATATTACATTACAGTGTCATATTACATTACATTATCATTTTTAATAGGATAATACTATGCATTGACAATTTTACTATGATTTCTCTTTGTTCAGACATTAACTCTTAATATTTGTTTTACAAAGGCAATTACGACTAAGTGCGGGTCGTGCACGAAGAGGTCTTTTTTGTCAGCAGTAGCCACATACACGCTGATGATGTGGGTCCCTAAATCTTCACATAAGTCATCGGCAAACATAGACATACTCATAAATGGCAACAATTCAACACTAAAATAAAATGAAGTAACTTACAGTAAGCATGATTCCGGCAACAAAGCCAGCTGTATCATAAAGGGAGCAGAGCCCTTTTCCCGGAGGACAGTACATCCTCAGCTCTGGCAGAGGACCCTTTGGCCGCTCAGTCCGCAGCCACCCTTCGGTTTCCACGTCAGTGATGGTGCGAGGAATTTTGAAGAAGTACTCCATATCAGCCAGGGCATCCGTCCAACCGAATTTTGCTGAATATCAGACAAGAATATGAATTGTGTGTCCAGATCTTCCTAATTTTGGTATAAAAGGTTCTTGACAGTTTGAATTTCTTTAAATACATTTGTTATCATTTTTAAAATGTAGCTGGTTTTAGCTACTTCTTAAAACAATTCTGAGTGCTCAGAGCGTTTAGTTTAAAAGGTTTAGAATCAAAACTTGTCAAATTTGAGACTTTTTTTATAATAGAGTTATGTAGTAGGTAAAGGAAGAACAAAGATGCAAAATCTTTAAAATAAAGTTATACTGGATCAGCTGGATGAACAGAGATTATTATAAAAAGATCTTACCTCTAAGTCCGTCATATTGGACACCTGAAATGAAGTAATACGTAATTTTAAACTAGATACTTTGTAATTATGGCAATACAATTCTTACTACATTATAATATTACTCGCTGCAGCGGCTTCGCCCTCGTTTGGGATAAAAATAATTTGATGTGTATCTATCGTACGTATGTGAAAAAAGTCTTCATTTTACAAGTAGTATTAAAGCAGCATACTATGCTCTCATACAATGATAACAATACTAAAAAGAGACGGAATGACATAGTATGCAGTGCCAATGCAACTAGAAATGTTTTTGCCGAAAGATTCTTTTCATTTTTAGGTCCACTTTTGTAATAGAAAATTAAGCGTTTTTACATTAAACTATTTTAATTGTAAAAAAACTGTTATTTCGTTCTTGCGTAATACTGCATATTATTATGCGCAGACTGAAGACTTACTGTTGGTCGACAGATAATCTGCTAACTCGCCCTATCTATCCCTAACTATCCCCGAAGATCCCTTCGGGGATAAAATGGTGTGATGTTATGTTATGTATTGTGTGGTGGCGAAATAAAACGGGTTTTCTTTCTTTCTTTCTTTCATATAGATAGAGCAACATACATACAAACTTTCGCATTTACAATATTAAGTAGGATTTTGTTACGTTTCATCCTAGTATTAGTTTAAATAAAGACAGTTAGCCAATTAATTTAGTTAATCAATATTCTCATTACCATAACTGGTTTATTTATTTAGAAAAGACTTTAGATTTGAAAAACGGGTTTATTATAAAGGTTTTTGAACTAAGCGTCACTTAGTTAGACAATTGCCGTTATTCATAAACTATAACTTTTCAATATTTCATCCTACTAATAGTATGATACAAAAGTCAATAGTATGATATGAGTAAATATGTATGTGTGTGTGTGTTTGTTCCTCTTCCACGTCAAACGGCTGAAGGGATCGAGGTGTAATTTGGAACAGAGGTTACTTTTTACCACACGGAAACGCGGGCGAAGCCGCGGGTAGAAGCTAGTATTAAAATAATAGATAAAGATAAATAAAAAATGGGCTTTAACTTATGCAACTTATTTATTATAATAATGAACACGTCACAGAACAAACAAAGAATTCATCCTCTCACTTACACCTAGACCACAGAGTACAGTTTAGTAATTTCACCAACACCATAGATAATAATAAGATTATTACATTGCATGCACATCATAATACTTTTATAACAATAATCTATAGGTACATAATATATTAAAATCGTAAGAAAGAGAAAACTGTACATTGAATTTTTTTTTTAAAGAATGCTTGAGGCGTGATCTACACTTGACATAGAAGCCAAAGATAATGGTTTTTATAATTTTTGTCTGTTTGTCTGTATGTATGTCCGGGCTAAACTCAAAAAGTACTGAATGCATTTACCTCAAATTTTGCATGAATATTACTAACAGGTTGGTACGACATATGGGCTACATATTATCACGCTATCACCTACGGGGGAGCAGCTGGGAATCACTTTTTCACGTAGACGAAATCGCGGGCTCAGCTAGTTATTTTATAAACTACGTTTAAATAATCGACTTTAACTCCATCTTTCTTTGAAGTCGGTTTATTAATATACTAAAACTCTCTTTTAAATGTAACAAACTCTTTTTTTAAAACTGCATACAAATTGGTTTACGCAATCGTGAGGTAATAGCGCACAAACATACATATATACAGGTGAAACTGAGAACTTCCTTCTTTTTTGAAGTTGGTTAATTATTGCGTTTTTGGTCGACTGGTCGCAACCTACTACTGGGAATCAAGATGTCTTTGATTTTATTCTTTGAGTCAGGCAAAATGCTAATGGGGCTTTGCAAAAATTTATCGAAAATTCGACCTTGATTCATAACATAACATAACATAACATCACGCCTTTTTATCCCCGAAGGGGTAGGCAGAGGTGCACATTATGCTACTGTACAATGTATCACCTTGATTCACTGCGTATTAAATGGAATAACAACATCTAGAACTGTACCAAAAAGTGATTTAATTTGGGTACTTATATTAAAGCAGGTTTTTTATTTTAGGTACCTATACAAACAACATTACCGATCGCGAAGACATCACTATTTCTATTTTGTGTCTTAAACGAGCAATAAAAAGAAAAACTCACCACACACGACCGCTACAAATGACAACAACACGATAACTCTTTGCATGTTTATCATGGAAAACTAAGAAACAATTAATATTTGTATTTTACGATTGCAACGTCGATACGCAACCACAGACTTACTGGTAGTCGCGCTCTGACCGAATTGGACGATTTAAACTGATTAAATGACAGCAAAAACTGCACGCCGTAGGTCAATGATAGTAACGTTATTCAGATACGGGTTTCTTGATGTCAAAATAAATCAAAATAAAAGATGAAATGTAAATTTCGTATTGGGTTCCGTACTTTTCAAATGCAGCTCAAATAACAAGTGGTTTTAGTCAAAAGTCTGACACTGACTCTCACGCCAAGGTGGAAGAAGTAATTGAATGACTTACTCGCCTTAAAAAAATAGTAACCCTTCGTCAACTCTATAATAAATATTTAATCTGAATATGGGCCGGCTGACTGAAATCACAGTTTCAAAGACTCAGTTCATCAGAGATACTGATTCTTGATTGATCTAACCCGGTTCTTCCGACACATAGGTACAAGTTAGATTGCCTTTAAAAAAATATGGTTTCATATAAGTGTGGAAGAGCCATACTTTGGCACGAATGGGCCGGCTCGACCAGAGTAAGGCCAATATAATATAATAATACTAAGGCCTCACAGAAAACCGACGTAAAACCACGCTTGCGTTGTGTTTCCCAAATTTCTCCAATCCCTGAATCCCCAACAATCCTCAAGGTCCTAATCCCCAAAAGGCCGGTAATACACTAACTTGTCATGCCTCTGGTGTTCCGAGTATCCATGGGCGATGCCGATTGCTTACCATCAGGTGATCCGTCTGCTAGTTTACCGGCTTACTCCATTAAAAAAAGAAAATATATATATCGTTTAGTTATTCATATTCATATTGTTATAGTTCTTCAGACGGAACCCTTACTTCTATGGGGTTTATCCAATACAAAAACCAAAACTAAACACCTAGACGTTTTTTATTAAAATTATCTTGTTCAAAATCTAAATAACCAAGGTTTCGAATTTTAAAACTCATAATTTATGTTTATCGGATATTTGCATTCTTATCTTTTTTTAATACCACTGAAGTTTTAAGTGACACATAATCATTGAACCTAAACAACCTTCCTAGGACTCCATATGATACAAATTGTTTAGTTTCATTACATTTCTTTTTTTTCTAACCATCTCTCATCTATATTTTGACGTCGACTTTGAATCTTAAGTTAACTAATTTGTTTGAATGTCGAATCAAGATCGAACAAAGAGTTCACATTCCTTCTCAAACTCGTTGTCAAATTTTCAGTGCTGGTCATAAATCCAACGCTTAATAGACAGATATCACTGGGACCTATCGTATTTTTGCTCACCAGGTAGCGCCAGTGTGCACCTGTCGTTCTTCGTCCAATAAGGCTAGTGTCGCTGCCATTGGACTTTAAATGTTTGACAGCTTCTATGATGGGACACAAAACCCCTTCCACTACTTGCGCCATCCAAAAATCGTTAGCCCCATAAGAACACCGAAATTTTAAAGTATGCTGTACTGCTGCCTATTCCTCGATATCTTCACCATAGGGTAGTAGACAGTGTATGAAAATTAAAAAATTTAGGCCGTCAGTTAGACGATGAATAAATTCAAATTCAAATTCATTTATTCAATTGTGAACATAGGTAACATTATGGTCTTAAATAACAATTTTAAACGCTATGTTGGCTTTTTCAGCATACAAAATTAGAAAATAGTTGGAAACAAAGATTTGGATTGATTATTATTACTTAATGTCATTAGAATTATTAATTATTAGGTCACATAGGATTAAAAATTTAAATGTCACAATATTAAACAATCAGAATGTCAATAGTTAAATAAAAACAAGATAAAAATTATTAAATAAAATAAAAATACAATAAAAATACATCATATTTTGTCGTCTAAGTACTCAGTAACACTATAATATGCCTTAGAGATTAAAAACCTTTTTATTCTATTTTTAAAAACCTTCAAAGATTGTATATGTAGCAATTCGTTTGGCAAATGGTTGTATAATCTTGGGGCCATACAAAAAACGCTATTATTAAGAAAATGCGTTCTATTACTCGGGAAACATATGTGATTATTATAGCGTTTACTTTTCATTTTGTCAAACAGATTAATATTATTCTTTACAAATACTAACACTTCGTACATGTAGATACATGGTACCGTCAAAATATTTAAATTAATAAAGTACGGTCTACAGCTGTCGGTCTGGCTTAGTTTGCAAATAGCCCTGACACACCTCTTTTGAGATATGAATATCATTTCTTTGTAAGTTGAGTTGCCCCAGAAGATTATCCCATACCGAAGAAGAGAAACAACGTGTCCGTGGTATGCAGTTATAAGTGTTCCGGCATTAGCAACCTTAGATAGCTTGAATAGTGCATACGAGAACTGATTAATTTTGGAGCTTATATATTCACTATGACATCGCCACTTTAAGTTGCTCTCTATATGCAGTCCTAGAAATTTTGTGCACTGTACCTCTTGTATTTTGTGTCCTGAATAATTAATGAGAACATTAGTTATTAATTCCTTTCTATTTTTAAATGTCATTATATTAGTCTTAGTCAAATTTATCTTTAGATTATTACTTGTCAACCAGTCAACAATAGTAATTAACATGTTGTTTATATCCTCTTCCAGAAGGTTTTGATTTTGTCCTTGGAAAAGGACTGTACTATCATCAGCAAATAATATTGTTGGATGCTGGGTAATATTCGGGAAATCATTTATATATATGATGAATAATAAAGGCCCCAACACACTACCCTGAGGTACACCGACGTTTATTTTTCTAAATTTCGACATGTATTTTATTTGTTTTTTTTTATTTTTACAAATTGTCGTAACTACTGTTGATTGACTTCGGTTAGATAGATATGATTTAATTAAATCCAGAGCAGTTCCTCTAACACCATATGCATTAAGCTTCTTCAAGAGGAGAGTATGATCTACATGATCAAAGGCTTTAGTGAGATCCATGTATAAAGCACATGTTGGGATCCCCTTATCCACATTTGTCATAACTATTCTAAGAAGCCTGTAAATAGCAAGGCTAATATTTTTATTTTTCCTGAAACCAACTTGTTCTTCAGCAAATAGGTTGTAACACTCAAAAAAGGAATACAAATTGTTATATATAACCTTCTCAAATATTTTTGATAGGACTGGAACAAGTGCAATGGGTCGGTAGCATGACATGTCCTTTAAGTTTCCTTTCTTAAACAATGGTTTTATAATTGTCTGTTTTAGTTTTTCTGGGAAAATTCCATTTAATATACATAGATTAATTATGTGACTTAATACCGGGGATATACTATTTGCCGTATGCTTTAAGGCGCTTGTTGTTATATCGTCATAACCAGTACTCAACGTGTTTTTTAGACTGCCTATTATGGTTTTTATGTCAGCTGGGGTTGTGGGTGCAATAAAAATGGAATTGACCGGTCCAAGATGGTTGCCCGGCTTAGCATTCAATGTGTTTGTTGATATTTGGTCAATAAAGAAGTCATTAAAAGATTCGGCTAATTGTGCGGGGTCACTAATAATTTTACCATTTACATCCAATTCCTCTATTTCGGCCTTAGGTAAATTGTGTTTAATATTATTTATTATTTGCCAAGTAGCCCTACCCTTATTAACTGCAGTGTTAATATAATTATCATTTTGGGATTTTTGTGTGAGATTGATAACACGTTTTAGTCTAGACGAAAGAGCTTTAAAATTACTTTTATTTATTTCGGTACGATTTTTCCTATATTGCCATAAGAGTTGCCGTTTGCGTTTACAACACTTTCTTATACCTGAGGTAATCCATGTAGGTCGTTTTTCAGCTCGTATTTTTTTAACAATTAGGGGAAAACACAATTGAAAAAATAAGGAAAATAAATCATGAAAAATGTCAAATGCAGTATTAGGATTGTCACAATTAAAAATATCACAAAATGTCAAAGATGATATAGATTGTTTAAATTTGTCAATATTTTGCTTATTAAAGTCCCGTTTTTCTACATACCAATATTTTAGACTGCTACTTGGTTTAACTGGGCACGTCAGAACTTGTGCTGTATGGTCAGAAATAGCAAATTCCACAACTTCACATGTGCTACCTCGTATGTTATCAATAAAATTATCCAAACATGTACCTGATTTAAGACGTGTTGGTTCTTTAATTTGCAAACGCAGATTAAAAACAGATAGCATTTCTTTCAATCTATCGGTACTTCTTGACGGTTTCAAAATATTAATATTGAAGTCACCACAAATTATTATTTTATTTTTCTTGTAGGATAGAGTGAGTAATATTTCTAATGTTTTGAAAAATAAATATTAGACACGTATTATTTTTATTTGTCGTGTAAGTTTGGAACTCACGTTTACGTTACGCTTCCTTATAAAATGTAAATCGTGACGTCACATGATATTTTAAATCAATATATCATCGAAAGTATTTAATTTTGTAAGAAAAGAAAAAATACGTGTTGTAGAAATTTTTTTTTATGTAATCTACCAGACGGACATTAAAGTAAAATTTAGAATACTACCCTATTTTACGACATAGGTACCAGGGTAACAATAATTACTTTAACTCGTCGAGTACCGGTTTTGTAGACACAATTATAGAACAATAGGTTGCGGTCACCGGTGACCGCTTGGTGTTTGATAGTTTAAAATCAAGTTCAGTTCGCAGTGGACTTACTGTTCTCGATTCAATGTGATGATAATAGCGACATCCGGGCGTTATAAAGTAAAGTACACACAACACTACATCGACTACATGTGAATATGTACTAACACTAGCTGTTGTATGATCGTCTGATTTCAGACTGCTTTTATTAGGCATACAATGTGTCTTAATCCTTATGTCTAGACATATTCCGCTTTATTATGGTAACTCGGTGACAAATGTTTATAAGTAGGTAAAGATGCAGGTCAACCTACTCTACAAAAAAAAAATAAAAAAAACATTCATGTTTTCTAAATAGTTTAAAAAAATAGGTTGTGCTGTTTTAGTGGGCATTAACTTTTCTTCTTTTGTTTTATAGATTTTACTAGCTTTTACCCGCAGCTTCGCTCACGTTACAAAAAGATAAAAAGTA